GGGCGGGTTGGCTGAATACCCAAAAGGTGCTGGCGCCCCCAGCCAATGAGAAACTATGGCTGGCCTCTCAGAGGCGGAGCCTGCTATGGGAGAGCTGGGGCATTTCCGCCTGGAACTAGAGCAGAGGTCACAGTGCCCTTCTCTCTGCCCTGGAGTAACAAAGAAAGCTGGCAGCTTGCACAACAAGCGCCCACTGTTTGCAAGGGTTCACAGACCCCTTTCTCAGGGACATGAAGCGAGAACGGCAAATAGGGACACATCTTTGGCTATAAGAACTACAAGTTCAGAGAAGCCAGGCAGGAATCTCCACAAAGCACCAAAGAACCACAAACCCTTTTCTTAATCAATTGTATTTTATTGTCAGTTATAAATATTTTCCACTTGTCCCCTATTTACAGTTGCAAAATAGTTTATGATATTATACCCTCATCCACCATTCAGCATCTTTCTTATAAACTCCATGAAAATTGAATAGGAAATAGAAATCTCTTTAGGGGGGCCCCCAGTCCAGTTCCCCCATACTCCAAACAACCCCACACAGACAGCAGGTGACGTTGCAGCAGGTGCTACACAGTAGCAAAGGGGTGTTCCAGAGGCAGCCCCCGGCTGGCAGGCAGGGGTGTGTGCGGTCAGGATGCCAGGCTCCTCAACACGTTGGTGATGCTCCAGTGCTGGCCTGAGCACTTCTGCAGCACCAGCTGGAACCCAAACTCCATGTCACTGTTCTCCTGCAGCTCCAGACAGCGCTTGGACTTGCGGTTCTGGATGGGTCCTCCCTAGGAGTCAGGACACAGTGAGGTCAGAGGGCAGAGAGGCAACTCAAGGAGATTTGGGGAGCCTCTGGTCTAGAGGTTAGTGGGGGCTGGAATTATCTCTGTGGCCAGATGCCTGGGGCCAAAATTTTCAAGGAATTTCAGCCCCCATCTCGGATGTGTTGGTCTCCTCCCAAAGACTGAGCATGTGCCTTTGTTTTCTTTACAGTGCCCTAGTTCTGTACTAGAACTCCAACTTGCGTCTGCCTGGCTGGGCTGGGCATGCTTGTTTGTTCCTACAGCTCTTACCCCAGGGGCCTGCTCCCCACGGTCATTGGTTTGGGCTTTCCTTTAAAAGACCTCGTTTCTTAGAACCACTCGATGATCAACCTACATTTGAATATCACCAAAGACCTGGACCTCCTGCTCCTGGGATCTATGCCCCCAGCTGGACCTCTCGAGCCGTCAGTACAGTCCTCAACAAACTCTGGCCCCTGGGTATTATCTGTTAGATCACTGGGCTCCTTGAGTTCTGGATGTACATGGTTTCCTCCATGATGTTCCAGAATGTTCTGCAGCCATGCATACTCAGTTTATGTCCCAAAGCTCCTTGAGGGAGGTGATATTCTGCTCTCTAAAGTAGTCCTACAGTAGCAAAGAGGAAACTCCAACTTTCTTTTTTCTTTTTTTTAAGAGGTTTTCGCTATAGGGCGCGTGCGCTCGCCAGACAGACAGAGAGAGACATAGAGACAGAAAGCGAGAAATCACCCCCCGGGGGGATGGTCACGCCACAATCCCTTCTCCTCCATTCTCCTCTTGGGATCCTGGGCACGCATGCACACACGCCCGGCGTGAGTTCTAAGCCACCGGGTCCGGGACGTGAACGCGGTCGACTACGTGGGAATCCAGCAACATAGCCATTACGCTAACTGCTGGTTCCCATGGAAACTCCAACTTTTGAGTGAGGTCTTTGCAAGGTTTGAATCCTCTGGGGTACTATGAGCCTGGGTGTTAGCCTGGACTGTGTGAATATCTCAGAATTGTCACCAAAATTGTGCTCAAGTGGGTTTTGACCTTCCAGGAAGGTCAAGTTGCTTGGGTGAGTTGGGGTCCTCATAAGTGGGCCCTTGTAGTTCAATGTCACTTGAGTGTATGATCACCTTTTCTTCAGAACCTACTCCTGTTTCCATTTGGCACTAACCAGGTATTTATGGGAAAACCTGGACATTTTCATTTGTGCATCCTGCTCATTGGCTCCAAATAGGCACCAAGTGCGGCCAGTCCTACCCCCTCACGCTTTGTGTCCATCTTCGTTTTCCTGCCCTATGACCCTTGCCCTGCTTGGGGCAACCATCTTTTCTCACCAGGACAACAGTATCAGCCTCTTTATGGACCTCCCTTCCAAACTCCCAGAGGCAGGGAGTGGTGATCTTTCTAAAATACACATCTTTGGCCTGGATGACAAAGTCTGAGCTTCATACTACAACACCAAAAGCCTCTATGACTGGGTACTGTTTTTCTCTCCACTCATCTCTGACCCTTCCCCTAGCTCCCATGCCTTTGGCTGCCACACAGAACACCGTGTGGTTTCTGAACTGCCTACATTATCTCAGGGTTCCTGGTCTTTGAACAAGTTGTGCTCTGTCTTGAGTCTTATTCCTTGCTTCCACAGCAAGCTAAGCCATAGTGTTTCTAAGCCCAGCTCCTGCTCCATTTCTTCCAGGAGGCCTCCTGTACATCCCACTCATGCCCCCATCTCTGCCCCTGCTTCCTCCACTCCACAGCTGGCACCACCTCACTTGCAGATGATCCCTGACTTTTGATGGTATGAAAATGTTATGCATTCAGCAGAAACCATACTTCTAGTTCTGATTTCTGACCTTTTGCTGGGCTGGCATGCTGTATGATTCTGCCTTGAGATGGTGAGTGGTGGCAGTGAGCTCAGCTCCCAGACAGCCACACAATCATGAGGGCAAACAACTGACGCTGCACTCCACCGTGTGCTGTAGTTGATAAACCACGTGAGGTATTCAACACTTGGTTATAAGACAGGTTTTGTGCTAGATGACTTTGCCCAGCTATCGACTGATGAAAGTGTTCTGAGCATGTTTAAGACAAGCTAGGCTAGACTACGATGTTTGGTAGCTTAAATGTATTAACTGTGTTTTTCTTTTCCTTTTTTGTTTTTCTTTTTGCTAAAGAGTGTGCGCACTCACTGGAGAGAGATAGAAGAAAGAGAAAGAAACCCCTCCCACGGGGGATGGTTATGCTGTAATCCCCTCTCCATTTCTCCTCTTTTTCAGGATTTTTGGCATGTAGACGTTCCTGGCATGTTTTTCAAGCTGCCAGGTCCAGGACTTGAATCTCATAGTCATCCATGTGGGATCCCGCCACCATGCAACAAGCTGGCTCAAGTGCATTTTCAATTTAGAAAATTTTCAACTGAATAACGAGCTTATAGGGATGTAACCCCACCATGAGTCAAGGAGCATGTGTATATTTGACAAGAGCCAAGGAGTCAGCACTTTGGTGGCCATACCATGCCTGGGTCCTTATCCTGTCCCTGAAAGGCTGGATTTGAGGACCCAGAGTCATTCCTTATGACAATTGCTCAAAGCAAGGCCTGTCCTCCATCACTCCACCTGGCCCAGGTTTCTGTAGCTTCTGTGTAAAACCTTTCAGCCTTTGAGCCTGAGCACATCTGCCCAGGCTGGGCCATGCCACTGATGTCCTGACCCCTCCAACAGTCCTGCTAGTCCAGCAGCCTGTCCTTCCACCATGCTGGGCGCCGAGCTCAGGCAAGGTAACCAACACCAAACCAGGTCTCTAAGCCACAGGTCTGCCGGCGTTTTAGGCACAAGGCAGAAAGTCGAGAGAGCTGAACCAGGATGCTGAGGATGAGGCTGCTCTTCTGGGTGTCAGCTGTGTGGCCTTAGGAGAGCCTCTCTACCCTGTGGTTTCATCATCTAAAGGGGCAGATGATCACTTCTGTCCTGACTACTGGAAGGGCCATCTTTTATCAGCCCTATAGCAACACACGGATGTGAGGCTGTCCATGGTATCAGGGTCAGGGGTCAGAGAAGCAAATACAGAGAGGGAGGCTGGCCAAGCATCCATCCACTCTGCTCAGACACATCCTCTGGGCTCAGGCCAGGCCTTGCCAAAGCCCAGGGAAACATGTCCAAACCAGAAGAGGACACACTGCAGCCCCCTCCCTTCCTGCCAGCCACTAAGACATGTTCTAAGTTTCATGTGCCTGCTTTCCCCCGTGGGGGGGTTGGGTGCATGTCAAGGCCGGTGGGGAGATAGTGGGGATGAAAGCAGCTACCTCTGAGAATTGTCCTCAGAGACCCACACCTGACATTTCCCAGGCCTTCCTCTGGCCTAGCCTTGCCCTTGACACCCAAGAGACAGCAAGTGTGGTGACGTTGGGTGGAAGCAGCCAGTATGGCCTCCTAGAAGGATGTAGAAGAAATGGGTTGAGGCCAAGAGCCAGTCTGGGAGAGGCAAATGGAAAGTTGATAGTCTCAGTGAGACTATTGAGGTCTCTCTGGGAGGGCAGAGTATGAGGCCAAGGGGAATTCCTTCCCTGGAGGCTGAGAGGGGAGAGTGTTCTAGAACAGGGTAGCAAGGCCATATTATTCCTTACTGAACAAAGCTCAGGGACACTCTTTGGGAACAGGCCTAGAGTAGACAGGCCACCCTTGGTGCCAGCGCCAGCACTGGGCACTAGCACTATCTTCCACTCTGCCTTCTTCTTCAACTCTTGACCTGACACTGGGGCCCAGCCCACAGTCTCTGGGGCAGTCCCAGGGTTCTGGGGCTGGGCCTTAATGCAGAGACCTCAGCCAGCTGCCCTTTGCGGAAGGTGCAGTTGCTTGGTTTACCAGTCAGGCCATCTAAGTTATTTGTGTAATACTTACAACCACACGATCTGGAAACACACAATACTTTTAATTAAAGGATTTAAATAAGGGCAATTAAACCTGGCAGGAGAGGAACTGTAGTACACAGAGAGCTTAATTGGAATAGAAACCAAATTAAATATGGAAACAGTGGTTTAAAAAAAAATCTCCAAAGTTGAATGTATAGAATTAAAAAGGATAGTAATAATCCCTAGAGTCGGGTTCCCAGCCCCAGCTCAGCTCTGCTCCCTGGATCTCCCTGAAGCAGTGGTTGGACAGGGCACAAGCAGAGACAGAGGACACAAGACCCACTGTGGCCTTTGGCCTTCTCATTTGCAGAAGGGGACAGAAGACTCTGGCCACTTGATCATGCCTGAACATAGAAGACTGACTATGTGCCAGCCTCTCTGTGCCTCAGTGTCCCCAACTGTGTGTCTGTGGTGTGGCAGCTAGGTGTGGCGAGCCTAGAACGAAATGAAACAGTCCTGTTCCTCCTGAGATGTAGGCTGGGTGAATATATCAGAGTCAAAGTTGCCTCGAGGCTTATTAAACTGCAGATCACTGGACTCTCCCATCAGAGTCAGTAGGTGCAGGATGAGGCCCCAAAGGTGCCTTTAAATTCCCAGTTGTGGTGGTGCTGGGGGTGCTGGTCCAGGCCACATTTTGAGGACCACAACAAGCTGTGACCCTGGGATGGTGAACCAAGAGTGTCTGAGCTGAGCTCAGTCTCAGTTTTGCCATCAAAGTGTTCACAAGGAACTGTGTGTACTAAAGCCGGAGTCTGAAGACTGCTTACTTCTCAGCTCCATTCCAGTTCCGTTTCTAATTAATTTTCCATGGCAATCAGCCCGATGGGTCTTAGGCTTTAAGCACAGAGAGCTCAGAAGTTTCCAGGTTAAGTAGTTAATGATTAGTAATCAAATACTTCAAAGCATGGGCGGGACTGTTAGGGCTAGTTAAAGAAACTGTGAGATTAAGTCTTTTTTATAGAGCAAAGTGGTCTTTCTATAGGATAAATATTCAATGCCCTATTTATTCAATAAGTGTTTTGCTGTTTTCTTTCTTAAAGGGGACTCACCTGTGTCTGAGTGAAATCTGGCCAAGGCTTTGCAGTTAAGGTCCATTGGACGGAGGACGGGGTAATTATAACACCAAGTGCAAAAGCACAGGCGGAAGGCTGGCAGGTAGCCTGGTGGTTAAGGCACTGGAATCCCACATGGCTGACCATGGTTTGAGTCCCAGATCTGGTGGCTTGAAAATCATGCAGGGTGCATGTGCATGCATCCCCCAAAATCCCAGGAGAAGAATGGAAGAGAAGGGATTGCGACGTGGCTATCCCCCTTGGGGAGTGATTTCTTACATTTCCTTTCACTGTCTCTCTCTGTCACTCTGGCAAGTGCATGTGCCTCATGGCAAAAACTAATAATAATAATAATAATAAAATGACAGGTGGAGAGAGGTTGTGGAGACAGGATGGCTAGAGCGAGTTTGCAGAAGACACATGTACACCTGAGACTGGCTTGGCAGGGAGACCCCAGTACCACACTTCCACTGTAGCAACTCAGTGGTTTTATAGAGGCACATGGGATGGTGGTTTACAGCATAGACTCTGGAGGCATAATGTCCAGGCTCAACTTTTAGTGAATTACTTAATCTCTCCATGCCTCGGTTTCCTTATCTATAAAATGGGGGTAATTAGAGTAGATACCTTACAGTAAAGTCATGAGAATCAACTACATTCCTAAGACAGTGAAAGTAGTGCCTGGCATATAGTAAATACTATATAAACATTTGATAAGTAAATATAAAATTTTTGACTTGTTCTATAGCCAAGTGGTTCAGGGAGCCAGATCCTACATGGTCCACTATAGTTCAAATCCTGGCCCCGGTAGCTTGAAAACATGCCAGTTGCCTGTGTATGCATGCCCCAAATTCCAACAGGATGGAGGACTGAAGGGATTGTGGTGTGGCCATGCTATGCCTCATTGAAAGATGCTTTCTCTCCCTCTCTCTGCTGTCTCTGTCTTTGGCGAGCACATACACACACACACACACACATACAATTTCGCTCAGATCTGGGTAGTGGGGAGCTGAGCCATCACACCTGAGGTGTGGTGGGAGGGGAGAGAGGGGAAGTGCTGAGTGGCATAAACTGTACTGAAGGGAACGGCCTGAACGAGGCTTCGTCAGCCCCTCAACACTGGACAGCTCCACGTTTGCTCTTCATGGGACATGGGAAGGAAAAGCTGTTACTCAGAGCAGTAATGAAATGCCTGGTTATAGTCTTTTCTTCTCAGCACAAAATGTTCCCAAAGTTGGGCTTGCCGACGGTGCTGAGATGAGAGCAGGAGAGAGCCGAGGATCCCTCCTCCCTGTGTGGGGGGAAATCCTTTGGCAGAATTAGTGGTGCTCCCTGGGAAATGTACTCGGCAAAAGGTTCGTTTTCAATGAGTTACTCATCTGGCATCAAATGATCAAATTAGACCCCACAAATCAGAGCCAACTGTCCCTCAACAGACAGGCTTGGCTCCGCATTCCGCTCTCTTCCGGGCAGTCTCCCCACGCTCTCGAAAATCATTTTTCTTGGCATTAACAGACATCTCTGTTGTTTTCCTCCTTGTGCTCCTTTGGAAAATGTATAGATGCACTGAAAGTTGAGCAAGCGCAGGGGCCTGAGGGGCCAGGCTGCCGTACCTGCCCTTGGACTCCCAGGTGGGCCTGCTCACCATTTCCACCCAAGGACCAGAGCCTGGGGGCAGCATGAGATGCAGCTTAAATATGCTGATATTTCACCAGAGCCTCCTGTACTCCATACAGTATGCATAACTGGCTTAGTGTAAGCTATTTCTACTTTCCTCGCCCAGATCTGAAGTTACAGGAAGCAGGCCATGTTAGCCTGTAATTGAGCACCCCACTATCACGTCTGTGTGCTGCAGTTGGGGAAGTGTTCATTGTAGAAAATAGGGATTTTCCAACTAAGCAGGACCTCCCTATTACCTTGAAATGTCCTCGAAATACCAAAGTACTGTTTTTCTGTTAGTATCAGCAAGCTTGTGTGTATCTGAGGATGGCCATTGAGGGTGTATTGGGGGTGGTGTTCTCTTCGTCTTTGAACCTCCCACAAACCTAGCTCAAGACTGGCACAGAGGAGGCTTATAGTGAGATTTGTGAGTTTTTATTTATTTATTTATTTATTTATTTGGAGAGGTTTTAGTTATAGGGTGTGTGCGCATGCCAGAAAGACAGAGAGAGACAGAGAGATAGAAAGCAAAAAATCACCCCCCAGGGGGGATGGCCATGCCACAATCCCTTCTCCTCCATTCTCCTCTCGGGATCTTGGGCACGCACGC